CAGTGTCTGTCTGTCCCCAAATCTCTCTCTTCCTTGCATCTCCCCTTGCCCTTCATGAGTGCCTTGCAACCATGCTCTTCTCTCCCCTCGTGTGCAGCCCCCAGAGTGGTTGGCACCCAGTGTGCCTTGGTGTAGGAACCGCACATTGCGTGCCTGTGCGCTTGCTCTGCCCCCTGCTACCACTGTGCCCCAGTTGGTAACATCCAGCGGGGTGTGGGAGCTGCTGATGGATGAAAGCCAGACCTGCCCTGCGTCCTGCCCCCGCAGCTCATCCCCTTCGCACAGCATTTGTGTCCTGAGCGTTCCCAGCACGGCAAGCGTGGCATCCGCAGGGCTGCGATCCAGTCCGTGGAGCTGCACAAAGCAAACCGGCTGTGACACCACGACACAGCGCTCGGGCCTCTCCGGCTTGACACCACATCGTTATATATTGATGCCATGACACCAGCGCTCAAAATAGAATCAGGACAATTTGATTTCCTGCAGATCTCAGGATGGGGTCATAAAAACGGAGACTGTTCTGGAGAAATGGGATAGGGTGGAAATGTTTGTAGTGACATCACAGCCAGTTCCATGCCAATGGCCTCCTACTGCTGCAAACATGTGATTGTGATTTTGCTGCACGCTCCATCAGAAAAGTGCCAGACTGGTCGGGGAGGGAGGGAGAGGGAGGGAGGAGAAGGGGCGGAAATATTCTGTTCTTGTATCTTAATTCAAATATCTGACAATAGCCTTGCAGCCCAGGGTGCTGAGTGATCAGGAGTGGAACCATGTTGCTGAGGCTGCTGCCAGATCAGCAGAGTTCAGGGTGTTGCAGCAACGTAACTGAGGGCTGAATAAGGACCTTTGATTTTATAGTGGAGGGTCTTGATCTGCATTGGTGTGCTTTATTGGAGAGTTGGGTGGTCTTGTTGTGCTCACTCTTCCTCAGTGCTCCCATTTGCTTCTAACGTCATTTTTCTTGGCAAGAAGAATGTACAGGCCTGAAATATGGCTACAAAAGCAACTGCAGAGTTGTTGTCTTTTAGGGGTTCCCATTATAGAAAGGAACAGATCTCAGTGTTTCACTCATGAAGCAGGAAGCAGCAGGAAGGGATTTAAATAGCTTGAGGATAGAGACAGAAAGGAGAAAAGAGAGGAAAGAAACAGAAGTCAACACAGAAAATAAAACTAGCCTGAGGGCATTGTAGGAGGAAATCTCATGTCCATTGCTCCAAAGATGGCACTGACTGGTGCAAAGCCCATCTTGGTAGCAAGATCCTTCCCGAGAAACAGCCAGTGGAGATCAACCCTGGCTGTATCCAGCACATGTAACCTTGGGGGGCTGTGGAGAGGAGCAGTATCTGCCGGGGGGGACAGGAGAGCAAAGGGATCCAGTTAATGCACTCGTCTATCAGATTAGGCTGTCAAAAACCAAACCACTTCCATCACTGCCCAAGAAGAGACTCTCACTCCCTGCTTAATGGGATGTCGGTCCTGTTGTTGTCACTCCAGGGAGAGGGGCTGCTGCCACCACAGCGTGCAGCAGGCTGCGAGTTTAAAATCCTATTAGACGGAGACTAACAGTTGCAAAAAGAAAGCAGGTATCCCCTAGTGGGGATTTAAAGATGTTTAGACGTAATTTGATTTTCCAAGCAGATGTCATTATTGTTAAACAGTTGCCCACTTGATATGTTCAAGTTGTTGGCTGTAATTGCTAAAATTAGCAGGTCTGCATAGAGCAAAGGTCAGTCGGTTAATATCGTGATTTAGTATTTTATGAAGTAATTCCAAATGCTTTTATGTATGTTTTTGTTTTTGCAGCCTAAGCCCACATTAAAGTAGTTGTGGGCCATGCTAATAAAATAATGACTCAGCCTCCCAACACAGACTGCCAGCCGGGCTCGGCAATGGTGCTCAAGCCACCTTTGGTCCCTGCTCTGCCTGGTGCCCTGGGCCAGCCGGGGCCCCGCATTTGGGTTTGGAGCTGCAGTCAAAGAGGAGGCTTCCAACTGCCCCCCAGTGTGACATCTTCAAGCAGAGCTGGTGCTGGAAGTGAGCCCATCAAGTCCAGCAGTGACTGGAAGGATGAGGGGCCGGTGCGCACAAGGGTCTGCCGCGGGTACTCGTGGTCTTCTGAGGCGGATCGACTGCACGTGCAAGTGCATGCAAGCACCTTCAGCCATGAAGACACCTGAAAGACTCACCACCAACCAGGCAAGGTCCCAAAATACAGCTTTTTAGAGGGAAGATGCATTTTTGGAAGAGGAACAGAGAGCTGGGATTGGGCAAGGCCAAGACTCCCAGTTTGTGCTGCGGCTGGTCGGACATCTGGTGTTGCTTCCTCCGGCACTGCAGCTGCTAAATGGCATGAGAAAAAGCTTTAAAAAACTCCTTGAAGGTGTTGGGGTTTTCCTGGCAGGCTCAGTGTGAGTCTGATCCCATGTCCTGGGACAGAAAACTGTTCTCTTCCAAGGCAAGGTTTGCTGGGGTTCACTTACCTTTCTCTATAACAGAGATACAACCCATTCCCAGGGGTGGTTTGGGCACACCTGGCAGATTTCTTGCTATTACAGGAATGCAGGACTTTGCTAATGCAGTCTGACCTGCACCAGACTTTATGACTGTCTTTTTTTTTTTTTTTAAATCTCAGACAATAATCTCAGAAAGTGCTGAGAGGCATTGTGTGGCCTGCACAGGAAGATATGGTAGAGGACCTCCTGGACTTGATACTTACTGGGTAAGCTGGGTCCCTTTCCAATCTGTGTTCCCATATTCCTGCTAGCAGGTTTTGTTATGTGCAGCTGTCAGAGCTGCCCCAGGAACTCTCTGTGGCTGCAAGCAGCAACAGATATACTCTGATCCAGGGAAAAGGAAGAACTTGCTCCTAGGTGCTGCCTTAGACACCGGCACAGGAGAGAGAACTGGTGACCCTAGACAGGATAGATCTAAGACATGTGTAGATTTGCATCTCTTGATCTCAGATCAAGAAATATTTTGTGCATACATAAAAATATCCCATTAGAGACAAGACTGAAGAAAAGTTTTAGCACTAGAAAGCTGAAAAGGCTGAGGAGCTGGGAATTCAACTCTGGTCCAGATTTCAAAACATGTTATTTTGATCAAAGACCATTTCAGTTTCCAATCTGAAATGTGCAGTTTGGTTTTTTTGTTAATTTTTTTTAATTTGTTTCGGGGTTTTTTTTACCTTGGACTTCCTCTGAAGCAACATAAGGTAAATTCAATAATGCATCTCTCAAGAACATGGTGTCCACAGAGTACTGGTAGAAACATTTATTTGTGTTTGCTCTGACCAAAATAATATTTTTGTACCAAGCCCCTTAAATCTTTGCAGTTCTCAGAGTCCCAATGCCTGTAGGACTGTGGCTCCCAAATTGTGGAGAAGCAGTAGACAGGCCTTGTCCCAGCACTGAGGTTTCCCCTGCTCCCATCACTGCTGGCCTCCCTCCATGAACCCAGCATGCAGTTAAGCTTCTACTTGCCTCCAGTGCTGTCTTTTTCTCACTGGGAGAGAGATTTAATAGCTCTTAACATAACAAATACAGTCTTGGTCTGTTTTTCCAAGGTGGACATGGCATCAATTGCTAAGGAAGGTGATTTAAGCTACATTTGTCTTTTAAAAAGTAAAAGGCTTTGAATAAAGGGTGGCAGCATTCTGGCTAATTTAACTTATTGCTTAATGTTAGTCCTTTACTAACAACACTACCTCACAGGCTCCTTCAAAGCATGAGAGTCTGTTATTCCCATTTTACAGCAGAGGAAACAGATGCAAAGACCTGCCCAAACACAGGCAGCAATTGCAATCTGGATTAGAGTGAAAATGTCCCTGAAAACTAGTTCCAGTCTCCAGGGAGACATCAGTGGGTAGGGAAAGCTGGGAAACTCAAGGGGACGTAGCGTGGGACCGAAACTAAAAGGCGTGTAAGATTTTAAACGCCCAAGGTGATCTGGCCAAGCAAGAAACAAGGCTCAGCAGTTCGTGTCAGCACAGGGGAAGGAGGAAATGTGGGGTCTGTGTTCCTTAGCTCAGTGGAGGACGAAAGCAGTGTGCTGGCAGGCTGTGCAAGAAATGCATTGTGAACTGGCTCTCGCAGCTGTGAGCAAGACAATAAGGATGGTAAAGCACCATCTGAGTCCTCACATCCAGCTTTGCACAAAGAGGGAGCTAAAATCAGCCCCCTGGAATCTGTTGGCTCATGGTTTGGATTTAGCTCTTTGTGTTTGAACAGCTCCAAGTAGAGAGGGAATATAGGTTGTCCCAGTTCAAGAGCCAAATTCACCTTTTCCCTGCTCACTTTCAACCCCTGAGCTACACAGTACTTCCCTCAGGGTCTTTGGTCATAATTTGCAGGGCATTCTCAAGAAAGCCCCAATTTTCTTTTACAGTCTGAGGAATGATATTTTTTTCCTTCCTTTGGTTTTCCTACACCATTCCCTCTCCTCTGTGCTCTGCATTTTCCACTGAACCTCACCTACCTTCTTGCCAGTGTACAAAACCTTTTTTTCAATGAATATGCATCTTCTGATAAAACAAAGGTAGGATATTCTTCACTTATATCTCAGGGTTATGTATGAGGGTCATGCAATACTTTATTCTTTCAGCTATTAGACTTCAACACTGGCATTTCAAAGAGTGGGAAGGGGACCTATAGCTTGTGATAGAGTTCTCTTACCTGTCCATGAACCAGCCTGTCTTTTTTTTGCTATAATAATCAACTTGGTCTCTTTAGCAAACCAGCAAGGTTGCTTTCACAGGTATCTGTGATACCTATTAGCTGAACAAGCAGTATCTATCACCTTATACAGGCTTAGTAGAGTCCCACTCTTTAGTTTAGCATAACCATATCTTTACCTATGAAGTGCTTGTTCCCAACCATTGAAAAATCTGCATTGGTTGTGCCATGAATTCAGCATTTATTACTACTGCTTGCAGTAGCTCCCATCTGTTGAGCTACGAGAGCACATCCCACAGTTTGCAGTTAATGCTTGAGCTGGCAACGTTAAGAATTCAGGATCTCTGTCCCATTGATTTTCACAGACTTCAGCTGGCCATCTTCTTCCACTTCCTTTCTCTCATGCCCATTCTCAAAGATTGGCCAGGTGGTGATTGTCTTGCCATTGATCACTTTAGTACAGCTAACCATTGTTGTGGGACCATGTGGCCCAACTGTGGTTTCACTAAAGGTGTAGGCGCAGAGCTTTCTGTGACTGAATGAATTCCATGGCATAAATTACTCCCTATTAGGAAGTACATGGGCTGGAGCTTCCTCCTCTTCTGCTTGTATTGTGCTGGTTTTCACCATTGATTCTGATGCCAAAGGGGTTCTAGAAAATATATGCAAATGGATCCCTCCCTCCAAAGAACTCTTCTTGATGGGAGAATACATGAGGAGAATGAAAGAAGCCATCAAACCCCTCTGTCAACTCTGTTCTCAACAGACTTGTCATACAACAATTGCTTCTGAGGGTCAGACAAAACCTCATGTGCTTCCAAAATTTCTTTAAATTTCTTCTCAGCTTCCTTCTTACTCCTGGGGTTCTTATCAGACAAGTTCAGCCTGAGGAGCTGAACTTTGATGATCAAGTCCAGGGTTATCCTGCATCTGTTTCTATTCCCTGGATTTGCCGTTCCTGTGGGAAATAAAATATCCTCACAGGGAATCATTGCATGAAGAAGGTCTCCAAAGAAGTGCCAGTAATGAGAACTCATCTGTCTGTAACACAGTGTCATAAACACCTACTAATATCAGCATGTGTTGCAGATCACTGCCCTCTTTTCCATTATCCCACACTTTGAGAAGGAGTCAAGAGCCGGCCAGACCAAAGAGCATATGTGCAGCGTATGAGCTGGCTGCTGTCCTAACATACATCGTATGTGTGGAGGCCATGAAGGAAAGGGGCACCATGTCAGCCTGGAGAAAGCAATGTGACAGAGAGAGGAAGGTGACTGAGCTGATGCGTTGGGGAAGGTCTTTGTATTGCTGGTGTTCTCACTGGTCAGTGATGGGCCAGTAGTAGGGAGGTATTTGTCATATTTGGGCAGTAAAAGTTGCTGTAGGGAAGTCTGGAGGCTGGAGCTGAAGGAAGCACAAAGCAGCAAAGGAACTTGTGGTCCTGTGGGCTCACCTTGTCGAGGAGATGTTAGCTTTTGTCTCTTGGCACAGAAGAAATTTTCTTAGTTACAGGGTGGTTGTGCCACATGAATTATTTTTCTGTAGCAATGGCAAAACTAATTTGGGCCCAGCAGCAAGCTGCTGCTGCCCATTTCAACTCAGAGGGTCCTTTGCAATCCCAAGGCATCCCAAAGTGGTCTTCTACACTGAAAGGAGAGCTAAGACTTCATGGCTCACTCACACTGTAGTGCTGTGCTTGAAATCTTCACCAAAGGGACTTGTTTATTTGGGTTAGTGGTTTTTTAAGATTGTCCATTGGACTTGAGGGGGATCCAAGCTTACCACCCACAAATCCCCAAAAAGTGCCAACAGCTCTTAGCCACTGCCAGCATGGTCCATGTGCGGATGCTTGGCAGAAATTTCAAGAGGAATTGCTGTTCCTACTCTCTGTTACCCAGAAGGGAAAATGGGACATCAGAAAAGTCTCTTGGAGAGGGTCCCAGGCCAGTTATCTACTGCAGGGAGTGGGACTGTGCATGGAAGGAAGGAGGTGACTCCGCTTTATGCTGTGTCTTTGCAAAGCATCTCCTCCCCTGTTTGCTTTTGATGATGAGAGCCCATCTCAGACTGCCTGGCGCACTGGGTTATCTGTCTTGGATTTAGTGCATCCTACCCATCTGAAAAGTAGGGAGTGGTTTCCTCCTGTCATCCCCGAATGGAGGATGCTCACTGCCTGTCTGTCTGCTGCCTGCAGCAGGCGTCAGAGACTAGCAGCCATTCAAGACAGGCCACTGCTGTGAGCAAAAAGGGTTTGCAAGGAAAAAAAGAAAGGAGAGGCAGGGAGAAAGGGAAACTGGACGTGCACACACCAAGTAACTAGACCCAAATTATCCTGGCAGTCCCATCCCTGGAAACCAAGGCTTTGAAATGAGAAATGTTTTTCGTATCTTAAATCTCAAGTACAAACAATAAAAACCAGCCCAGACTGTGTTCTTTGAAGAGAAAGTACGAGTGACCTGAACAGTGGTTATCAGCAGCGTCATTAAGATAAACCCTTAACATGATTTAAAGCATCCGAAACTGAAGGCAGCACTTTCAGATACTAACAAAATGGTCTGACATTGGGGATGAAAATCAATAGTAATCTGATGTCACTAAAAATACTCAAAAGTGTCCCATGGCTGATGGAGGTGAGATTAGTGTAAATATTTGTATTCTAATCAGTGGCACGCGAGGGCTGGAGGCGGCCTTTCTGTCTATTTAATTAATGGAGTGGCTTTTTAAAAGGATCCTAATCATATGTGATTGTATCTGCTTATCAACATTTTTGCTAATTAGATGATATGGAGGCAGTCACTCTGCTAATTCCCTCATCCAAACAGCATATCCTGCACAGATAAAGTACAGTCTCTTTTTAATAAGAAACAATCATGAGACAGACTAACCTTAATGGTGCTTATTATCCGAGGATCTTTGGGATTTTCTTTTCTACCCACCCCCTCCTTCCTTTTCCTTCATTCGCTGCTTCAGTATGCCAGATGGATGTGGATGCAGTAGTCCCTGTCCCCCCGGTTCCCTGCTCCAGGCACTGCCATGTCCAGCCTGCTCTTCCCTCTCAGCCAAGCCTTAGGTCTGCAAGGGCAGGGATTGTCAGTCAGGTCAGGATGGGTAGCAAAACACAAGACACCAAGCAACAAAATGTCCCAAGCTTTTGGTCATCCAGACCACAGATGACCCCAACTGTGCAGCCTCAAACCCTGACCTTACTCTTGGCACCCCAATGAGCCCTAGTCCAGAAAGGATTGAGTGCCTCTGAGCTGTGAAAATATTTTTCTATTATTATTTTTTTATTTTTATTTATTACATTAGATATTAGGAAAAATTTCTTCATGGAAAGGACTGTAAATAACTGGAACAGGCTACATTGCCTATGGCAATGGCTGAGTCACTATCCCTCAAGGTATTTAAAAGCCATGTAGTTGCAGCACCTGAAAAACATGGGTTAGTGGTGGTCTTGGCAGCACTGGGTTAACAGTTGTACTCAATGATTTTAAAGGTCTTTTCCAACCTAAACAATTATTATTGTTGTTGTTATTGTTGTTATTATTATGTTTTCTTCTGTTTTAAAAGGGTCTGAGGGCAAAGGAGTTCTACATGAGTGGTTTCTCACCAGCACCATTGATTCTGTGACAAGGCCGGGGTCCTTTTATCTAAGCCAAACAAGTCAGAGACATTTGTTCCAAGTTCTTCGACTATCCAAACAAACATGAGTCGTGCTTCGCTCCACCAGTCAAACTGTCATCAGATGCCCCCCTGTGGGGCAGCCCTGTTGGGAGGGGGATGCTGTGCTCACCCTCAGAGCCGTGTTCCCGGGGAGCACGGTCAGGGATGGGCACACTGGGCCGACCTCCTGCTGGCGCGTAAGAGAGGGACCTGCTTGACTTCAGAACAAGATTGAAAAATAAATAGCAAACTTGCCCTGAAAAATGTCTCCTTACCTCTCAAAATACAAAAGCAATGGCTAGGTAAGGAGAACCTGTCATGAATGCGTGTAGCTGCCATCCCAAGAGCATCTGGGTGGAGCAGAGGAGAGAGGGATAGGTGCCTGGTGCTTGGTTTTGGGAGGTCAGGAGTTTGCCTGCTGTTTTTGCAGCTGTGAATGTTGAGCAGAAAAGGTTTAAACTACATGGATTCCCCACTCTATGGGCAGGACAGAGGGTCAGCATGTTCTGTGCATTGATCCCATGTGTTGGGCTCAGCCCAAAGGTTGGCTGTGGGGTGGGAGATGGAGTGGCTCTGTGGAGTGCTGGCTGGGAGGGATGCCCAGATGCTGGGACACAGAGCTGAAAGAAGATCCAGGGACCTCGGTCTTTAATCCAGCTTTTCTGATACTCAGGTTGGGGTTTGAGACTAAACCAAGGTTCAGGCAAGAAGACAACCAGCTCTTCTGAGTGATGGTGGGGAACCTCTTTTTTGGGGTATGAAGTCAAAGAGGAGGTCTGGTCCTACTTAGCGGAGTCAGTAGTCAGCCTGACATGTTTTTTGTGTTAGATCATTCCCCACACCTGGCGCAAGACCTTGCTCCAGTCTTGGAAAGTCCAAATGCTGCTGTAACTTCTGTCCATGGACTCTGACCCCCGCAGAATTCAGAGCACTTTGGTTTCATTGACAGGGTCATCTCCACATGTCATCTGCAGTATCCTCATCCAGATATGGCTATGCTGAAGTTGCACTCAGCAACACGGTTGGCTGGTCCTTCCACCACCTTTGTCATGGTCCCTGGCCCTCCATCCTCTCCGTGCTACACCCAGGAATTAATTCAATATTGACCGCTTTCCCAGAGCGGTTTTCCATTGCTAGTTCCATGACTGAGGGCTATGTCTTGAAAAGAGGAGGGACTTCTGGGCCAAGGATTGCAATGCAAGCCGTTGAGTCCTGGGGCTTAATGAGGCACTGCTTATCAGCGGAGTGTGCTTATCTGGAGCCTGCCGAGGGTGTACCTGCTCCAGCCCCATCGTGAGCGAACATGTTTTACCACCCAGTTGCAGGGAGCCGGGAGCATGGTCAGATGGCACAGTTCAGCTGATGTGTGGCAACTCGTGAAGCCGCAGCAACTTTATCACTTCACAACATCCATACATAGCCACAGCCTTGAATCTTCTCAGGGGAAGAAAGGATGATGAGTTACTGTTCTGGGATTTTCTCTCTGTCTCCAGTCAGTGGGAAGTGGTATGTGGAGCATTCATTTAATAAACCAGAGGGGAAAAGCTGTAGATCAGCTTCTCATTATTTCAGTGCTGGCTCACGCCATCACTTGGGCTTGTGCCTGACAGTTCAGTGTGTTATTTGAGGCCACTCAAGCATTCTGCAGAAATGATGCCACCCTCTTCTGAAAGTGTGGGATTTGTCCAAAGGGGGAGGGCCTGATTCCATTAGTAGCTTTACCAGTGCTAGTTTCATCTCAGTTTTAGGCCTGTTTGTGAAGAAGGTATTTTCTTTGGACACTGGTCCCTGTTGAGAGCCAGCACTCCAGCAGGAAACCTTCTGGAGATAATTTTGCTGATGTGGACCTCTGAAGTAAAGCAACTGTGGGTGGATAAATATGCACCAGTGGTGCTGGTTTGCAGTGGAAGGGGGAAGTCCTAAGTGGTACATAACTTTAGGTGAGGGTCCTGGTGATGTGCACATAGATCTGAAGCCTCTTGATTAAAAGAAGCAGTCTCTGTCTCTAGAAGGTAGGAGGGATGGTAATGGGCCATGTAAGTGTTTGTCCTCCAGTGTTTGCTAGTGTGTTATACCTACATCCAAGAAGAGGGGCCTGAACAACCCGTGTAGCATGTGGGGGACTGATCAATTACGGATTACTTTACTGGGAGTAAAGAAGGGAGAAGAGCCCCTGCTAAAGCTGTCAGGAAGCCTGTATTTCTCCTGGCTATGGGCACCTTATATATAAGGCTGCCAGGAAGAGTGAAATTTCCACACTGCCTCAGCAAAGGTTTAGTCCGAGTTTATTGCTGAGATTAAAAGACGGGAGAATATAAATTGTAAATGT